AATTTAGTATTGGATCAACTAATTATTCTCAAGTTTATATTTTTCTTTATTCTCGTCACTTATCTGATTCATATTGTATTGATATTGTTAGGAGAAATTCTGCCTTGGTCACTCATGGGAGTTAAAGGGTTAATGCTTGTTTCCCTCCCACCTCAATTAGCTTCGCTGTTTTGCAGGTAGGAATTGTTAGATATGTATTTAAATTGCTAAAATAAATAAATGTTGTTGTTGTTGTTTAGAATTAAAATCAATTACAGATATCAGTTACATTTGGAGCAAATTCATTTGGTGATTTTCTTTTTTTAAAACCAACATGAAATAATAAGCTCATTGTATCTGTTGTATTCACTTTGCATCCTTTAGGGATTTATGCTTAAAAGAAGCAATATTCAGGGATTACAAAATTAATCATATAACCTGTGCAACCTTGCACATACAATCCTATAGAAAAATTTAATGAAAGCTGATGTGTGCAGGGCTGGACAGGTTCACATAGGCAGGTCCAGAAAAAGCTGTCCAGCCCTACACTCGCACAGCTTAACTACCAAAAAAAAAATACTAATAAAATGAAAAACTGGTTATTACCTATGGTGCCCCCACTCTGTCAAAAAGTACATAATAAGTGTGTAACTGTTAACTGTTTGGTGATTATAATAGCGTTGGGGTATTAAATATTTAAAGGATGTACTCACATCTTTGCTCAGCATAGTGCTGGCAAAAACAGTCCCAGACCAAACAAGTATTCCAGCTGCCATAAGATACTTCCTCCTGTAACGATCTCCAAGATAACCAAACACTGGAGCAAGAACCATATAGCTACAGATGAAGACAGTTTGCAGCAAGCCAGCTGCTGAATTGTTGTCTTGTATATCAAAATAACTTTGGATGCCATCTAGAAGGCCTATAGAACAATATGATTCATTATATACAGCCAAACTCTTTGCAAGCAGTAACAAACTATTATTTACAAAACTCATTTTGTAATTTTAAACTCCTAATATCATGGTGCCAGCTTCGGATTTTGCACAATGTAATACTTAAGAATTGAACTCTGCAGAAGTGTCATTTTTGTAATTTTGAGGTTCTTGGAGAAATAGGTTTTTCTACACATATTTCCAGTGAGTAATCCACCAAATGTATCTGTGATAGAATAATTTACCATAATTGTGCATGGATATTGCAAATTGACAAACTTATGGATTCTAAAAGCAATGTAACTTAATACCCATCTAACAATTTCATTTTCCATAACTCCTCCAGGACGTAATCAGCCATTTCAGTTCCTTACCAGTTTCAAACGTGTTTCCTTCCCATCAGATCTTAGTCTCACATAATTTTTCATACTCTGTTAAAAACTATTTATATCCTCTACAATAAAGACTTGCGCATCAAGTAAAGGAGTTAAAGCAAGTCGTTGAACAGGCCATCTAGCTTCATTATTTCTGATAAATTGCTTGCTTATGTTAAATACCGTACCTGCTACAGTCTGTCGGTCCATATAATTCAGAAGATTGATGATAAATAACACTACCACGGTCAAGTAGGCCCGCACGTTGTTTCCTCGTACAACATTAATCATTTTGTCGTCACTTTGGCTCGCAATTTCTCCTGCCTCTCCTGCCTGAGACGCAACCTTTGGATTCGCCACTCCGTTAGAGGCAAATGACATAACAACAAGAACAGGTGACTAAAATAGGGCTAAGTGAGTGATAAATATCGTGTCTGTGGTAGAACATGAGATAACGAATTCAAGAAACTTTCCAAGGAAACCCACAACCCACAGCTATAATGGGAAGTACTAACCGAAGGCACGGCTACGCAGCAAAACGGTTTATACCTAATTTACCCTCCCCTCCCTACTTAGAAAAATGAACTCATTCCCAGTGCTTCTCCTTTCGTTATCGTGTTTCAAACTTGATTGATTCTGACAGCTTCGATCAACGAATCTGGTAGATAGTGGCGGGTACTTTTCCCCGATTTGAAAAAAAGTCACAAATTATCCGTCTGTAAAGAAATCGATTCATTGATCAACCAAGGGTAGCTGATCCTAGACTCCCACTGGGCTTGACATGACATCTCTGTGGTGAATTGTTCCGTTCTTTGTGCAAACATCTGTCCCGCGCTCAAGAGCTTGTCTTCGAACGGGACGTGGTAACCAAGCGTTTACACTCTTCAAATTATTTTCAATAGCACTTGGCCGTTGAACAGCGGAACAAAGAATTGCCTTAAACCGTCGAGACAGGAAAATTAGGTAAGTAAACTGAACTCGCTTCGTCTAGTGGTGAGGTTGGAAGTCTGTTCTAGCTCTTGAACAAGCTTTTAGTACATTTTGGCTTCCCGTTCGTTTCTATCCCAATTAGTGCTAGCACGCTAATTCATCGGGAACAATACAACTCGCCGCAAAATACTTGATATTTCCAAGATTTTTATCTGATAAATCGACAGTTTGATTGACTAAGCTGTAAATTACAAGACCCTCCAGAGTAATTACAACTGTTGCATTTCGATCGTTTCAGCTGAAGCACTTGGATCCAATTTCATGGACGTCAGACCCATAGTACTTATAGAATTCTGATTGTTGAACAGACGACAATTCGTTTGTTTGTGATTTGTTAAATAACGAAGTAATCAAACAAGATTTTTACCTCATTTCTTAAAGCAGGCTAAATCTTTCTCCTTCTCAACTTAGTACTTATTACCACGCGTTCACGAGTCAGTCACATAGAAATTTAAGTAGTTATGTTTACGTCGTTATATATCTGAATATCTGATCGTATTTCATAAGGCGAGAGTTTCCTTGTTTGATGATATTTTGACTAACTTTCCCTTGTAGTCAACCATCCATCAAGGAATCAGTAGTGAAGAAAAGCTAAAACTTGTTTACTATTTGAAAATAACAAGTTGATAGTAAACCCCTTTAAGTAAACAATTAATTTTCACAAAACCCTTAAGCTTTTTGATAAATTTTATAATACTTTTTCAGACAAATATATTTAGTGTAATTTTAATTATTTTGATGTGTCTGTGGGATAATTTCCAAGGGGGTCTGCCTAAAGGGCTTTTAAATTGATCACCAGAAAAAAATCTTAATTTTTGTAAAAGTAAAAACAATAAAATTCCAAGACAACTGTATGTAGATTTAACTTTTATGGATGACACTGGTGTTACAAAGATGGCTTTAACAGGTTAATAAAGTTAATCATTCTGGCTCTTAAACCAAGTTATTATCACTTTAATCTAGTTGTTGATGAAAACTATTGTTCTGTTCATGATAGCAGTCAGATGAAATCATTGAAGTGCAAACAGTGCCATTGTTTTGGAGTCACTTTGGCAGACAGTACTCCCTACATATTCAAATTATGTTTGAATTCAGTATTTTCTGAGAGCTTTTGAGCTGAAGGATTATTATTTCCTCTACTCACATAAGGATTGCTAGACATGCTTTTTATAGATAGGTTAAGTCATTGTTATCATTTATATAGCTCTCCACCATGCACTGGCACAACTCTATATATACAATGCCATGCTAGACATAAATTCCTATGCGGTTAATTTATACCATCCTTTGATCCTTTATTGAGGGCTGAAATGACATGTTACTGAATTACCAATGACTGTTAATCACTGCTTGAGAAGGGTTTATTATTTATCATCACTAATGTAACCATGAAAATCATCCAGCAAACAGGTATTGAGAATATTAAAACTTATCAAAACTTGATTTAACAGTAAATTCTCATAGCTAATTAGCAATCAGATCTTGACAGTTAAAGAATTGTAGACAACAACTCTTCTGCATTTCTTCTAGACATCAGGTCTTCTGACACTCGTTACGTTACGTAACACTTAATAGTAACAGTGCTCCATTTTGCAACCATTTTGGTGGCCATAGCAAGTGAAAAATATATTTGGCAACTAATATTTTGGTGAAAATTGTCAATTGGTGACCAACAGATTTCCGAAAAAATTTGAAAAATCTATTGATGTTTGGTTGAATGATGGCTGATAGCTTGACTCATACAGGGCTATGATTTTGTTCTCTTCCAGATGATTCTGTTTGAAAAAGAGCTATGATGGATGCAGATACTAGTGGACACTCTGACATATCTATATGCAGTGATGATACAGAATTTCTTCTTGGTCAGAATGTCTCTATCAGGGAAATAGATGATGATGATGTCATCCATGCTCATGAAAATGTAAAAATCCCATTATCTGTTGGTAAATCCTACCATTCGTCACCTCAATGTTCACCTCAAAAACTACAGCAAGTTAACTCTAGTAATTTGAGATCTCCACAAAGAAAGGGAGGGAATACTAAACCAGGGAAAGGACAGGATGTTATACAAAGATCACCTGGTAATAGCAAACCAAAGCAATCTTCTGCAGAAGAATCATTTAAGAGTAACATCAAAACGAAAGCAGATAAGAAGTCACAACCTCGACAGAATTATGCGCCAAAAGAAAATTTAAAGGGGCAAACACCTCAGACTAGTTATGGCTCAGAACCAGCAAGATACAATAAAGATGGTGAAAGGACACCAAAAAGTAAGAAACAAGTTCCAGATAACCTTGCCAAGCATCCACATGGTGTAGGTAACTTTCAGTCACCAGAGAGTCACAAATCAATTCATGCACATCAAAATGTCATTGGTAGTCCAAAAGTAAAGTCTGAATCACCATACAAATCATCGCAATTAATTCCCCCATCAAGAGACAAAGAAAATGCAAAGAGAAAGCAAGTTGAGTTTGGTAGGTCACTATTACGTGAACACTATATTCCTGGCAATCAGAACAACTGGGAAATTGACTCAGAGATATCATTAGAATTAGTAAATGGTGAGCAAAAGTTTGTAGAAACAGAATCAAATGATTTAGAAAGTCAAATGTCTGAGGCAACTGAAGATCTGATGGCAGGGCAGGATGAGGATGAGGAGGATTTCACTGAGAAGCTCAAGGAACTTAACTTAGCTGTGAATTATGATGCTGGTACAAATGGTGAGTAACTTTCCAAAGCTTTATCTCCTTCCTCTAAAAGAATCTGCTTAATTCATTCAGCATTACATGTCCAAGTTTGTTTGGCAGACATCTTACAAAAGAGGAAAGGAAAGAAATTCTTTTAACTTCGGAAAATGTTTTAATATGTACAGAATACTTTGATGACAAAGTAAGAGAAGGAGCAGAACTTTTATCCAAGCTGTTTGGTGGTCAGGTGGATAATTACTACAGCTCCTCCAGGTGAGTTAGATTGGTTTAAACTGCTTATCAAGGATTACATTGGTTTTGCTTTATGTCACTCACAACCAATCAGAAACAAAACTCAAGTTATTTAAACCATGATAACTCATGTTCTCCCATATTCAAGACCATTAGCATGTTCTTACTCTTTGTCAGAATCTTGATTATTTCCTTGTAATAATAATATTGTACTCTTGCCGATTGGCCACTACATTTTCTTTCATTTTGGCCTCAGGAAACTCAATCAATACTCTGTCCAGTTAAAAATTTATATCATTCTTCAACATCATTTGTAATAATCATGGCAGAGTGGTAACACAATTAAGCATTACTCCTGGGTTTGAACCATTAACAGTTTTTGGCATTTTGTTATGAATTCAGTACAAGAAAGAGATTGTAACCAATATTTAACCATTCCTGATTCTTTGAATTTAACTTCTCATCACTCTGATCTAGAAATGAGCTAATCATGTCGACTAACATCTCTACACATAATGATAATCGTATTGTGAAAAGACAGCCCTTGTACATGCGGACATTGAAAGTTGGGTAAGAAAACTGATGCTAGCACATTAACAGTTGTTTAATAACATACTTACAAATATTCTGATGATTTATTTTACTGACTTTAAGAAGTTAAAGGTTTGCCTAGTGAGAAAGTAACCCTTTGATTCCCAAGATAATATGTAATACTGAGACAAACTGACTGATACTACCAGTCAGTGGAATAGCATTTAGCTAGTGTTAACAGGTTTAACAGTGTTAGGGTTTTCTGTCTAATAACTGGACTATGATTCTGAATCATCCACTAACTCCAGGTTGTCTGGAATCTTGCTCTAAGAGGGACAGGGGAGTGGTTGGATGGAGAGTGTGCTGGAACTTAACAATACTCTACAATTGTGAGCCCAGGATATCAGAAAATGTTTATTTGTTTTGCAACTATTTCTGAGTACCTTTGATTTCTCTGAGGGCAACCACATAGTTTTACTCATATGTGTGGGTAGTCAGTTGATTGCATATGATTTCTTGTAGTGGTCAGTCTAAGAGTTCTGTGTCAGGATCAGCAAGTGTCCAGGAAGGTAAGGATGTACAGAGTATAGTTAAAGGTTTAGACTCTTTTTAGTTTATAGCAAATTCTCCTGGCTTGCTGGATAAAGAGTGGACCATTTTCAGACTTAACTAGTGCACTTGAATGAAAATGATGCTGATGATGATGATGATAACTTCAGAAAGAAACAAGTTAAAAAGTGAGCAACTTTTGGAAAAGTTAACTTGAGGCAAAGGCAAAGTAAAAAGCTTCTTCAAACTTGGGGAAAACATCCATTGTACTGATCAAAGGGACCTAAAATCTTGGACTAAATTTTCAGACCCAGAAAAGAAGATAGAGAAATGTTTGAGATGAGGCTGTCACTTCATCATGAAACCTGTTATGAAAACATCAGTCTTGACTTGATTCAAACATATTTTGTTTTACAAGATTCCTATTTTAACAGTTTCTAGATCTGACAGTCATCTTGAGGAAAGGAGAACTCCCAGTCACACTAGTAGCGCTACACAGCACTC